AAAGATATGTTATGCAACCAGAAATAAATCACATTGTTTGTAATGTATGAAGACATGTTTTTTATATTATTCATCGATATAACCTACCCTGGAAGATTGATATGGCCGGGGCAATGGATATTTAATACCGAGAGAGTGGATCCTTGCCAACGCTTTAGCCGGTGTAGAAAAGGTTCTTGCAGCATTCTAGTCCCCTCAATTCTGCTTGTCAGGTGCAATATTATGCACGGAAGAATAGTGCACAATAGAGAGAAACCATGCTTAGTCATCTCTATGATGAAAATTTACCCTGTTGTGATATCTAAAATATAGAAATTGAAGTCAATACCTACACAATTATGCATCAAAGAATATTGCAGAACAGAGATAAACCATGACGCAGGAGGAGATCCGTTGGGGAGAAGGAATGTCATGCAGCATAGCAGTACACCAGTTTCTTGCGTTTCCCCCCAGGAGATCATGGGGTGGAGTTTGATTCATTATTGATCAAGCAATTGTGCCACATCAGACCACCAGGATAGAAGGCGGAGAAAAGAGAGTGGACGACAATAGCTAGGCGGATAGGAGGTGGCGCGGACGTGGTTGGACAGGGACCTGGGAGGGAAGGACGAGGCGGTGTCTCTACCCACAAGAATGGGGGTGAGGGCCAGGAGGAGGAGATCCATCTCCCATGCCAAGAGGGGATTGCAAGGTCTGGCGGTGATCCAATGCGGCGGAGAAGTGATGGCGGCTGACACAACCCTGATTTGGACATCGTGGGCATGGAGGTTTAAGAAGAGGAAGGGGTAAATGAGGAGGTTGTCGTGCCTGAACCATCGCCTCGCCTTCCCGTGCTATATTTTCCCCCGGTTGGACTAAAGTCTGTTAAGCCCAATTTCATGCCAGCCTTCCGAAATTGTTACGGGAGCAGTGGCCCAATAGGTTAGCGCTAGGTGTTGGCGATAAAAGCGACCATGCGCAGGAGCTAATCGGACGACCAAAACTACTAAAACTAATGATCGTATGGTCAGGAAGGCTAATGGCCCGAGAGGGCCGGAAAAGTGCTAAGTTATAATGTATCTAAATATAATAATAATTAATTAGTTGATTATGAAAGATAGCTTGGTCCTTCCAGCACCGGTAATCTAGTCCAAACATGCTCACGTGGACAAACAAACACATGTATCTAATCATTCACATACATAAGCATCCAGTGAAAGCAAATAGCAAGCAAGTAGCATCTAATTCTGCAATAGTAACCCCTAATCGCACCCACAATAAGCTCCAACTTACTTTGCGACAAAATAGATTGATTATTGAATCTGCTCAGGTTTAAATCCCATTGGAAAGAAAAAGAAATAAAAAACGAACCGTCCTAGAACTAAATAGAACAGAGAGAGATAAGAGAACGGCGAGAGGGAACCTTCCAGGGCGTTTTCCACTGTCTAAGAACCCCACCTCTCCCAGCACGTCATGCCCTTGAACCCGCATCATCTTCTATCGATAAAAAAATAAACGACATAAAAATATTTTGAAATGTGTGGCATTTTTTAACTTTATGAACAATTGTACTAAACATTTTTACCTATAGAAAGCGCGTCACCAAATCTTAGTTTCTTAATAATACAAAATTTATCTTATCGACACTTATTTTCATGGTGTATCTGATGATATTAATAATTATTAGAAATACTAAAATTTAAAATTAATCATTAGACAACTCAAATGTATGTCCGTACAAATACACTTGTGCTAAGGAAGAATTGTGTTCTGTTGCAGAACTTGTGCATTTTTTTAGGTTTTAGATTAGCATCATTTTGTCGAACAAAGGCCCTCCTAAATATAAGCAAAGCAAAAAACTTACAATGAGATGAAAAACTCATGTACATCTACGTAATCACTTATCTACTTGGATGCCTTACAGTGTGCTTATATGTGTTTCTTCTTATTTCTGTACTTATAAATATCTTGGTAGATTGTTCTACAATGCATGAGCGCAACATATACAGATTTGTACATGTGCTTGTGTAGCTTTGTAATAACAAATACTCCCTTTGGTACACAAAGAGTGAAGTTTTAAACATCTCTCTTAGAACAAACTTTGAAAACTATTACCACCAACACTTTTTAATTATTTATACGGGGTGGTTAAGATCATATGCATGGTTTTTCTTGAGAATATTTGAAGAGTATTATCAATTTTTTGGTATACATATATTGCAATGGAAATAAATACATGTTGAAGATTGTGTCATATCACTTATATTTTAATTGTCGAATGTATGGTCAAAGTATGACACAAAATACAAAGGAGACTAATAAACCTGAACGGAGATGGTAGTCACTACCACACATATGTGGGTCATGTACCATTATAAGATTGTATGTATGAGTTCAATTTTCAATCTAATCATGTGAGTAAATATTCTGCAAAGCCAATCCTACAAAATAAATCCAACATTTCCACTCTAGTTATCCTTAAAACACACTTATGTACATATAGGATACCAGTAGAGTCGGCATCAATTAATTCATCTATTATATTTCAGCATAGCCATCCTCGCATCATGAGTATTACTTACTCGACTGAAATTCCACATTAATTATTTCCCGGCACACATCAATAATATGAATAATTCTATGTTGCGTGAATAGATAATAATCGCATAAACAAATGTTGGGAGCCATATTATTTCGAAAACTCTCGAGGCTCTCTGTACATGCGATGGTGATTGATGAATGGTGATAGTTGATGATACCATTGATGGAATCTATAACGGAGGAGATAATTTTCTATAAGATCATCCTAAACAACCACATTCATCTCATAATTGCATTACATTCAATAATACATTCATGTATTTCCACATGACAATGGCAAACATAAGCAACAAAGGTATAAAGTAAAAAATCCATAAAGAAAACAAAATAAATGAAATTTTGTTTGGTTGGTTACAATATTGTCATGGGTAAACAAATAAGGGATGATTGTGCCTATCATCCAAAGTCATCAGAATCGGGTCAGGTATAAGATAGTATGAGATTATAACTAATGTATATACATTTATAACCATGTAACTAAAAATAAACAACAAGTCTGATGCATATCCAGAAAGGAAAATTAGATATGAATTAGGAGCCACTAAGTGCAGAAAGAAGCAATGAAGAGGCTATAATATTTCCACAATAATTCACTAATTATTATTACTCTAGTACATTTTTTCATTGTGTGGATAAAAAAGCATCTTAAACATTGGATCCTCACATAACATACGATCAAAGATTCCCCATAATTTATATGCGGTTGCTTACAATTATTTTGCCAATGAATCCGACCTCCGCCTAGCACATCGAAGAACTCGTTCAGGAGCAGGGCACAACCATGGGGGTGCTAACAATGTTTTGTTTGTCAATTCTGTTTTTTAGGATGGACGAAAAATATAGGTTTCTAGAAAACCTCAGAAATTTTGGATTTTTTGCCCAAAATTGTCAAACAAATTTTGGATTGAAATAATTATATTGTCAAATTAGATTACATTTAACCCAATATGTAAATCAAATAATTTGTACCCAAGCGTTCACCCTGCTTCACCTAAGTTTGAAGGCCGCGGGTTCGATTGTTGGCCACTTCACATTTAAATTCAAAGAAATCTAATTTTTGAATAGTATGAAATTTTTTTGGGGGTTTACCTAAATTTCCTGTAATCGGTTGGTTATTGGAAATTTTGGTCGAAAAAAAACCCTGGTTGCTAGCGGCACGCCATGCTTGTGATCCTTCTCCTCCTCGACACAGTGATGCTCCTCATCGAGCTTCTCCTCCTTGCTTTCCTAAGCGGCGGCCCTGAGGATGGAGACGCGGTAATATATGCAGTGCAAGAGGTTGGGAAGAGCAATGGAGATATTGAGGCAGGGGAGAGAGATATGAGAGATGTTGATGATGGAGTCGGGCAAGTAGAGGGGTTAGCTTGGGTTTGGGTAAGGCGGAAATGGACCAAATTCGCATATAAATATCTAAAAACGGGCAGATTTTGCAAATCCGTGGCTAGTCATCGACAATGCATTATTGGGCACAAACTATTTGCTACACCACACCTGATCACCTGTTGTCCAAACTCCAAAGTCATATGAAACGGGTCAGATATAACATATGTGATTAATAGCTAATGGATATGCACTTTTACTCATGTATGCAAAAGTAACCAACAAGACTAATGTGATCCAAAATGAAAATTAAATCTTAACTAGGAGCCACTAAGCACCAGAGAAACAATGAATATTAGTTGTATAGAGTTTGTCCACAATGATCGGATCCATAATTATGAAAATATTGCTCCCTCTGATTCATATTACATGAATTCTTTTTTTTTAATTTCACAAAAAGTCAGAATTCTTGAATAATTTTCAAACTCACAAATATTGGAAAAATCTATAACCATTTTTTGAAATTAACGCCCCGAACTTTTTTTCAATCCGTGAACACTTTTTTCAATTTTGTGAACTTCTTAAAATTTAGGATTATGAAATTTTTTCATACATTTACGCCTTTTGCTGCAAAATTGTTTTGGCTACCATTTTGTCTGATTGTTCAACTTCTCAATCCTTGAGCACACAGGTTTTCGTCGCGCCTTTTGCTGCCCTTTGATGTTACTCTGCATCTCCGTAGCCCAAATGCAGACCGAGGGATTTTTCGCTTCAGATCCATATATACGGGTAGATTTTTTGCTTTCGCAGGGAAACGAATTTGACATGAGTGAGCTTAAACTTGGACACATATGCAAGTTTCTTTTCATTTCATTTGTTTTTATGTACAGAAAGAAGAAAATCGTCAGCTTTGCCTAGTTCATCTTTCTCCCATTGCTAATTCAATTCAGACTTCAGATCCTAACGAAATGGCGCCTGTCCTACAGTGATTTTCGAGTCGAGTCAGAAATTGCTGCCGATCTACTCGGCCGGATCGAATCGTTTGCTTATCGGTCACCGCATCCTCGAGACCCCGCTGGCGCGCTCCGCCGCCACGCGCATCACGCCATCCACCAGCTGCGGCATGGACGGCAGGTTGGAGCCGCAGCTGACGCCGGAGATGTACCTGCGCACCTCGTCACGGATATCTCCTGCATCGCGGCGGCGAAAGCGGGGGAGAACGGGTACGACGCCGGCGGCGGCGACGGGGAGGGAAACGGCTGGTGGAAATGGCTGTGGGAGCTGTCGTGGTGGAACCCGTGGGCATCCGTGCCGGGGAGGGAGAGCGAGAGCGACGTGAATGGGTCATCCTGCTCCTCCTCCTCCTCGTGTCCCTGGCTCATGGCGCAGTCCGCCGGCTCGAACACGCCGGCCCGCGCCACCGGCCGGTAGACCTGGGCGAGCCCGAACGCGCCGCCATTGCTGAGGTCGCTGCGGTCGGACCCGGATCCAGATCCCGACCCCGATCCGGAGGTGCTCTCCGGCGTGACGCTGGCGCGCTTGCAGGGCCGCTCCTCCTCGCCCTCTCCGGCGACGTCGACGGCGCCGAGCCTGCGCTTGAGGGAGCAGTTCCAGTGGTTCTTGACGGCGTTGTCGGTGCGGCCACGGAGGTGGCGCGCGATGGCGGCCCAGCGGTTGCCAAGCCTGGCATGGGCGCGCGCGATGATGGCGTCCTCGTCGGCCGTGAAGGGCCTGCGCTCCACCCCGGGCGACAGCTGGTTGCACCACCGCAGGCGGCAGGACTTGCCGAAGCGTCCCGGCACCCCGCGGCCAATGGCCGTCCAGTTGCGCGCGCCGTGGCGCTCCACCAGCTGCCGCAGCGCGGCGTCCTCCTCCGGGCTCCACGGCCCCCTGATCCGGTCGCACCCCTCCATAGCTGGCTTGCTGCTGCTACGACCGAAGATGGAGACTGGTATGTGAGGACGATTGAACGGGTTGTGGGTGGCGGCGAGCGGCGGTGGTGGTTGTCGGGGAAGGAGATGGGAGGTGGTATTTGTAGCCTGGGGGCGGCCGGTCATGTGGGCGGCAGCAACAGCTGGCCGCACGAGGCCCCATCCAACTGCATGCATGCACGCAACGGCACCGGCAACGAAACCTCCTGCCTGGTCCGGTCCTATCCCACCCGCGGCGCTTGTCGTTTGCCCTGGCTGGATGCCATGTGGGGCCGCGTCGCACTGGCCCCACCTGCAGGACAGACAGCGGTGGTACAGTAACATTTTGTTTAAACCATTTTCAAAATTTGAACCGTGGCGTCGTTTCAGTTAGTTTGTTTGCGAGTTTGCTGTTGGAGAGGTAGTTCGGAAAGTGAAAGCGCGGCACCGAGTGTTTGTACTTCGATCGATTTTTTTTTATCGAAAGAGGGTTTTCCCGTCTTTTCTTCAAGAGTACAACCTAAGCGTATCATATTTTTATAGAAGACAGAAATAAATTAGACCGCCCTTGTTGTGAACAAAGCGCACACTTCACTTTACACCGAGGCAAGTTTGTAGACAATCCAACACCCAACACCCAGCAGGGCTATGTCTCCCTCGATCCAGAGATCGCTCGGTGGTGGGCTCCGTTCTTTTCAGATGTTAAGATCATGGCGAATGACCTTTCTTCTGAGTGCTTCCAGCATGTGCGTCGGCATTGTAATGTTTTAGCTCATATCTTAGCTAGATCAAGTTTGAACTCATCTAGTCTTTGCATTTTCCATTATGCTCCGATTGCATCCTGGGAGACTTTGTGTAAGTTTGTTGCTTAATCAATAAAGGCCGACATTCTCTCTAAAAAAAACACCCAGCAGGGCAGTCCAATGACAATCCACCACACCCATTACAACCACAACAAAAGGGGTCTATCCTGAACTGAAAGACAAAGTCGTGTCTCGACCAACACTTGTTGCCTCCGAAGATAACAGACCAATTTAGACTTCCCTTGCTGACGCACCATCCACCCCATGAATGACTCAAAGAGATTGGTGAGTAGGTGGCGGGACTTGGACGGTCACGAGAGAGGCATCGCCTTGGATGCACTAGCGATGGCGTGCATAGCGCCCTTGAAGAACAACCGGTATAGCAACGAGAACCGAAGGAACGCAACGCAGAACCTCAAATCAATGTCTCCGTACACGATGCCCCCAACAGAGGAGTGACACCGAGCACACAGCCATCGCGAACATAGCTTTTGCCCGGAGAACACACCCAAACACAGCTACGAGTCGGGAGATGTCAAGACACCTTGGCGATATTGTTTAATCTATTTTTAATTTTTTTTATCATAGCATCGTTTCGGTTGGTTTGTTTGCGAATTTGTTATTGGAGAGGTAGTTAGGAAAGTGAAAGCGTGGAACAGAGAGTGTTTTTTCATCCTCGCTCCTGTCCTTCGATCGATTTTTTGTTTGATGGAAAAGTGTTTCCCCCAATCTCATTTTATTATAAGAGGCCAGTGGCGTAGGCAGGATATCTCGGTGCCCTGGGCCAGCCTCGTTGGCACGGTATGTACTGTAGCTATAGTACATGAAGGATTTCCTTTCCACCCCTAGGGCCATGGCCCGGACAACCTTAGGCCTGGCTACGCCCCTGTATGAGGCTAGCAAAACACATGACTGTTCACAGTGCTTGTGATAAGCCAAATTAGCTGAGTCAGATAACAACTGCCACCCAAACTGGCAGAAGATTGAACAAAATCAAGACGAATAAAGAAGGTAACCAACAAGAGCTATCATGTTAAATAATCATCAACTTTCAACTGGAATAGGCGTTCAGATAGATGCCTTGCTGAGAGATTTTGTCTGCCCTTCGTCTCCCAGCGATCCTTAGAAGCTCTCCTCTTCGTCGATTCAGAAGCAGCAAGCATCCCCTCAGCAAAACTGACTGCATATATATATATATATCCACACACAGAATCTTGAGTGAAGTGCACAGTAGGTCCTCGAACTATTTTAGACATGTCATGTAGGTCCTCAAACTATTGAAACCGTGATCCATGTCCTCGAAGTATAGTAAGCGTGTTATGCTAGGAAAAGTATAGATCCTCGAACCACTCTAGTGAGAACTGATTTTGGACCTGGATGGCACACTTATTACACTTTGAGGACCTGGATGATGATTTTCATAGTCTGAGGACCTATGTGATACCCCTGAAGTAGTTCAAGAACCTACAATGCACTTCACTCCAAAACCTTCCATTGATGAAGCATCGCACTTACTTTTCCTAGAAGAATATGAATTTCCTTCCACACAACTCCTTGAAAACAAAGATCAATGCACATCGTCCATAAGTTCATAGTATAAACTTGTTCATCACCCCTGTCTAGCGCAGAAAGATGATTGTTCCTTTTGCGTTGATTGGCCATAGCATGAAAATAAACATTGCGACCCTACCGCCAAGGTCCCTGG